TGGATGGATGGATGTTTGGATGGATGGATAGATGTTTAGATGGATGGATTAATGTTTGGATGGATGGATGTTTGGATGGATGGATGGATGTTTGGATGGATGGATTAATGTTTGGATGGATGGATGGATGTTTAGATGGATGGATTAATGTTTGGATGGATGGATGTTTGGATGGATGGATAGATGTTTAGATGGATGGATTAATGTTTGGATGGATGGATGTTTGGATGGATGGAAGACGAGCATATAATCTGTGAAAAGACATGAAATCTGCTGCTAAAGAAAAAGTCTGTGTTTGAAGAAGCCGAGCTCGGCTTGTAAACACACACTGCTGTTGTTAAATTACTTATAGACCAATAAGTTCACCTTTTTAATCTAAACTACCGTAGTTTTATATTTACCGGTATATAAGTACTCAACACATCTGAGTATAAACATGCACCAATTCATCAAAGCTGTCTGACGTCACCATTGTTGACTTGTTTTAGTCACTTCGGCTGTTTCTGCAGGTGAACTGAGACGAGGTCGTCGGCAGCCCGTCACAGATTTTGAAACTAACCGTTTAGACCGAGGTCGTACTTTTCTGGGCTCATTATTATAATTATCATTAGAGACTCAAACCTGGAGAAAAGTCCCAACTTTTCAGTTGAACTCTCACTGAATTCTGAATGTTTGCAACCAGAAAGAAAAGCAACAAAAAGGTTCAATCTGGACCCGTTTCTTTAAGTGAGAAACGTTTCGTCCCCCATCCAGAGGACTTCCTCAGTCTATACGGCCTGCCAACCAGATCCGTCCCATAGGTAGCCTTCACTGCTGTTTCAAGCCAACTCGAGGTCGTCTTCACCAACGTTCACCAACGTTCACCAACGTCTTCAACAGTCGCAGCCCAGTGAGATACGACACTTAGGGACTAGGGAACAAGGATACAGACTTGGCAAACCATCCTCCAACTACAGAACGAGAACAACTTCGCCCTACAGGGATGTTGATCCATACCATCAGAAGTACTGGTGCACGGTCAGAAGTGCACCACATACGAAGCAGAGTTTCAAACTGCATATCGGCCAATGCGTGTACCGGTGAATGCATCATGTCCTAAGACACAAAACTTTACACGATTGTTATCACCGATGGTAAAATATGGAAAATTTAATCTGAAAGAAGAGCTAAGGTGCAGAGGAGGAGCCGGAGGATTAAAAGCTCTGCACTCTTATAAAACCACTCAGTCAATTCATGTTTTATTCATCACCTGCAGCTCCCCAACCGCTTTAAAAAACAAAATCCTGCTGAGTCATGTGACTATCGGTGGAGTGTTTAAATAAAGAAAATCAGCAGTATGCTAATGTTTCACCACGTGGCATTTTAAAACACTGCAAACCCAAGATGCAACTTCTACACGACCGCACTTATCCTGAAAATATTTAAACATCCGATTGCGTCCAGCGACAAACAGGCAGACTTGGTTGCCATAGTTACACCCGGGGAAGATGCACAGGATTCAGAGGGTAGCAGCCTGGAGCTTTAAGAGGCTTCATGAACTGCAGCAGTGACGCTGAACAGAGGGTCTGGATCTCCCTCCTACTTAAGGAAATCCAAACATCCGCTCCTCACATAAACAACTTTCCTTTATGTCTTCACACGCTGCAGCCTCTTCTGCTTTGAGAGGCTCCAGATCCTGTTCTTGTCAGGCCCGCCGGATGTTCGGCGGTGCGCCGCCCTGAAGTCGCA